TGATAACAGTCATTTTAGAGTTATCACCTCCTAATTAAGAAGCCTTTAGAAATAAGGATCCAGGGACAAATGCTGGCTGTGATTCTGCAGCCAGAATCTGGCCCTGAACTTTCAAGTTTGTGGTCTGGTTTCTGCAGGAATGCGTGTTGACTTTGGCGCCTGTCTCTGTACTCATTGTTGTTGCTAGCTGCCATCCAGTTGGCTCTGACTCATGGCGACCTTGTGTGTAACAGAACAAAACGTTGCCTAGTCCTGCACCGTCTTCAAGATTGTTGGTATGTGTCAGCCCATTGTGGTGGCCCTTGTGTCAGTCCACCCCATGGAAGGTTTTTAAATCACATCAAATCATGTTAGGCAGGACTCAGGAGCCTCCTTGGATTTCCCAATGCCTCTAGCAGAAACACATTAGTAACAATTCCTTAAAAAAAGAAACAAACCTGTTGCCACTGAGTCAATTCCGACTCACGGCAACCCCATGTGCTACAGAGTAGAGCTGTGCTCCATAGGGTTTTCCTGGCTGTCATCTTTACAGAAGCCGATCGCCAGGTCTTTCTTCCACGATGCCGCTCAGTAGATTTGAACTGCCAACCTTTAGGTTAGTAGTTGAGTGAACCTATTTGCACCACCCAGGAAGCAATTCTTAAGGGGTCAAGTTTTAAAGAGTTTTTGTTTCTGGGGCTGTTCTCAACCATGGAGCCTCCAAAACCTTTTTTTTTCCCCAGTACCCTTATTCTGAGCTCTCTCTTCTCATCCTGCCCCTGTCAATGTTGATTGAGGTTTATAAACTAATTTTAGTGATTCTGGAGGAGCTGCCTGTGGGGTAATTGTTTACCCTGGAGGCCGGCAGACGCAAGCTGTGGAACCTGCTGGAAAGAGATGGCTAGGTCACTATTTACAGCCCCCTTTGAAGGAAGCCCAAATTCAAAGTACTAGTTTTCAATGGGAAAGGTCTTCAGGGTCTACCGTGGACCAGGGAGTCCAGAAAGATCCGCATTAATAGGAACGGAGAGGCTGTGAAGCTATGATTTTTATACTGGTGGGGTTATAGGTCCGTGAAAATGATTTATTAGTGGTTGAAGAATGCTCCAGCAGCTGTTATCATAGGCAGGCAAGCAGGAAGGCAGGAAGCCAAGAGAAGAGGGGTTCCTGTCACTGCATTTTCAGTGATGCCCTTGATTATAGATAGCATTGTCGTGCTTCTTCCCTCCTCCCCCCAGCCTATTCCCACTAGTCTCTAATTACCTCCTTTAATGATTTGACCAATTAAAGCCTGCAGTTCAACTTATAGGGGAACGGATGAGAAATTAGAGGTTGGCACGCAAACTTCGATGTGGATGCACTTCTTCCAAGGTTACACACCTCTATTAAGCCAGTCGGCGATTTGAAAGGCAGCATAATGGGCAATGCTAATAAAATAACCGCAAGAACACTTTCAGCTGCTCCCGAGTGAATACAACAGAAGGACAAAATGTGAAAAGCAAAGGTATATCTATGAAACCAGGGCTTAGCATTTTTTTCCCCTAAAAGCGCAGTTGCCAGCCACATTTCTTCGTTAATGTGAAATGTAATAATTGCTTTGTCAGGGTTTGGGAGAAGCGGAGTGCTTCCTCCCGCCCTCCTGCCGTTGCCCTGAAGGAGACAAGTGCAGGGCTGCCGGTTGCCATGGTGGTGTGGAATGAGCTGTGCTTTGCTATCAGATGCAGCCTGACCCTGCTGGGGAGCCCCGGGAGATGTGTGGGAGCCCAGCAAAGCAGAGGGGGCTCCAGCTGAAGGGGGCTGGAGAGAAGTGCTGATTCTGTCCAGGGGTGTGTGGAGAAAGAGAGAGAACGAACAGCTCCCTGTTTTCTCTTGCTGCCGCAGGATGTGCTTTTATTATTTCGGACGAATGGCATCATTTGGAATCTCTTCACCCCTCACCTCCTATACTGTACCCACCCCAAACTATTCACAGTTCCCTGATCAACTCACATACCTCATGCCTTGTACCTTTCCCGATAATTCCTTCGATTTTTTTTGCCGTCTGGTCAACTCCCACTCATCTTCAGATTTGGCCAAATTTGTTGAGGACCTGTTATGTGCCAGAGTCCCTGGGTGGTGCAAATGCTTAATGCCCTCAGCTGTTAACTGAAAGATTGGAGGTTGGAGTCCACCCAGAGGCACTGTGGAAGAAAGGCCTGGCAATCTACTTCCCGAAAAGCAGTCCTTGGAAACCCTATGGAGCACAGTTTTACTATGACACACATGGGATTGCCATGAGTTGGAGTCAACTTGACAGCAACTAGTATTATGTGCCAAGATGAACCAGGGAAGCCAAGGTAAGTAAGGCCGAGTCTCAGCCCTTGAGGAGATCAGAGTCTGAAAAATTTCACTATATTGCAGGAAGTGTGCCATTAGAACTAGAGACAGGGAGGGCCAGCAACCGAGACCTGGCAAGGTCAGGGTGGGGTGAACCAGTGAATGAGTCCTGTATATGGGGATGTCTTACCCAGGGAGAGTGATGAAGAAGGAAAGGAAGAACATTTCAGGCAAAGGGAGTAATATAACCAAAGGCACAGAATACTCAGGGACTACCAGTAGTTAGTCCCTGGGTGGTATAAACTGTTAATGCAGTCAACTGCTAACAGAAACGTTGGCAGTTTGACTCCACCCAGAGGCACCTTGGAAGAAAGGCCTGGAGAACTGTTTCTAAAAAATAAGCCATTGAAAACCCTTTGGAGCATGGTACTGCTCCAAATACTCATGGGGAACCAACTGATGGCAACTGGTCAACCAGTAGCTGGGTGCCACCTGTGGGTAAAAGCAAGGGGTTGTGGCAAGAGATGAGACTGGAGCAGTAGGCAGGGGCTAGATCACTGGAGCCTACTGGCCATGCTAAGGAGTTAGGATTCCATCCTATTTGTGGTAGCAGCAAGTAAAGGACCTTATTTCTACAGATTTCCATGTAGGCCCGGTCCTGACACCTAATCTATACTTAACCATTGAGATAGACAACTTGTTTTATAGTTCTTTTAGTCCCACAGATGAAAGGGGATAGGTAACTTATCTGAGATCACACAGCCAATTAGTAGCAGAGGTACAAAATAATTTGGTCATCTGAGTCTAGCCAACTGCTGCCCACACTGGATTCTACACCATTCCCCAAACAGAAGGGAGCATACTAGTTTCAGACACTGATAGCTCCCATTACGGTCTTTTGCACACAGGAAATATTCAGTACAGGTAACTGATGAGTTTTACGTTATTGGCCTATTATATATAAAGAAACATACACACCCAGATATTTAAGGACAAAACTCTTCCACAATACATATTTTCCTTTGTTTCTTTGCTTCCTTTTCTGACATGTTTTGGTTGCTTCCCACTCCCCACCCTTTTGTCTATAACATCTTTATATCTTTCTCTTAGAATCCAATTCTGCCTCAGAGCTATTGCATGGTGATAACATTCTTTCTGCCACTTTACTGTTTTTTATATATCCATATATATTCCCTTTTATGCAGGAATCAAGGATTTTTAAGGCTGGAAAGGAAGCCTAGAGATTCCTTCAACTCATTCTCTGATGAGCCTACCAAGTAGCAATCTGGCCTCTCTTTGGATACGACTCTCAGGGGACTTCATTCTGATTTTAGATAATTTTCAATGTCTGGAGAAGTCTTCCATGTGTAAATTGATTTTTCCTTCCCTGGGTCTTCACTCCTTCAAGCAGTCACTCATTCACCAAAGGTAATTGACGTCTATATATGCTCAGCTCTACGGTAGACCCTGGGATACGAAGATGAATGAGCCTGTTCTTTGCCCTCCATTCCTTACCTGGTCTAGACAGAACATGCTGCCTTGTGGCCCTTACTTCTTAACAACCCACAAGGACCATTTGCAAAGCATTTCCTGGGTTGGTTTAATCTGGTGTTGAAGGCAATCAATGGGGAGAATCTTCCCCTCCTGTCTGGCTGCGCACCCCAAGTTGTGTTAATTGGCACCCAGGCACCGACAGTCATGTCTTGTTGCTTAATTAAATTCACATTTGTTTTGAGTGTTCCTTTTACTTTGCTATTTTTTTATGCATGAAGGAATAAAAACAAATGAGGAAAACATTTTATAGTTAAATTAGTTTGAGGGAAACAGTCGTGAATCATAACTCTTTATTGTTCTGATAGCCTTTTATTTCAATGCCTTTGTTTTCCAGCAAAACCACACATCTGTTGACTACTGCCCCTCTTCTTTTCTTCCTCACCAAGTTTAACCTTGACCTCTGACACTAGCTTCTCATGCCTTTCTCTTGAATTAGAAATATCATGACAATAATATTTTATAAACCTATTGTGCTTTGGAGCCCTGGTGGTGTAGTAGTTAAGAGCTCAGCTGCGAACCGAAATGTCGTCAGTTCAAATCCACCAGCTGCTCCTTGGACACCTTATGGGGCAGTTCTACTTGGCGCTATAGGGTCGCTGTGAGTCAGAACCAACTCTATGGCACCGAATAATAACAACAATAACAATACAGTGCTTTATATCTTTTCATGGTTCTTTTCTATCCCGTCTCTAGTACGATTCCGAATTTTGTTCATATGATGTTTCTTTCTTTTTTCTTTTTATTGCCCATGATACCATTGGGTAGTCATTTTCATACAACTGCGGATGAGATTTGAGCATAGGTCAATTTTACATCCTGCATGAATTATATTGAATAACAAAGCGTGCATTCTCAAGTAGGCATTTATCATTGTACTATCAACAGGCCTAATTATTCACAAATGAACATGAAGTTTCATCAACTTTTCCTTGTCAAATTAGGGGCTTGGTAGGGGAAAATTTGCATAAGGAGAAAGTTAGACATTCAAAAATCTGTTTATGTAAGGTTTATTCGGTCAGATGGAAGGCAAGGATTTCTCTTACCTAAGGGTTTGCCTTTGCAGAGGGGAGTAAAACAAAACTAGAGAATTAAGGACGAGATGTAAAATCCATCAAGCTATGACTAGTAAGCACTTACTTGCATTAACAGCTATCCCATAGGCAACCAGTTTGTGGAATTGGAGGTTTTTGTCTAATTGTCTACTCCATAGGCCTCGGCAGCACTAGGGGGACCAGAGAGTTTTAGAGGCAAATAAGGCATTGGAAACAAGAAACAAAAAAAAAAAAAAAAAAAAGCTTATTGGGGAAGGTGTCATAGTGGTGACAGTGCCATGGCAGTGTCCTGATAGCGGGGCTCAGGTGGGGCTATGTAACAAAGCTAACCAACAACCAAACCCTTTGCTGTTGAGTCGATTCCAACTCACGACAACCCTTTAGGACAGAGTAGAAACCCCGTAAGGTTTCCAAGGCTGTAATCTTTATGGAAGCAGACTGTCATATCTTTCCACCATGGAGCAGCTGGTGGGTTTGTACCGCCAATCTTTTGGTTAGCAGTGGAGCACTCAACCACTGTGCCACCTGGGCTCCTTGGTGACAAAGCTAGTGGCTCATTAATCAAACAGGTGGAAACAAAGCTGCTTTGCTAAAATTTCAACTCAATAAAAGTAACTGAATTAATACTATAACTTAGAACTCTTGAATAACCTTGCTAATATTCATGCTTTAGTTTCTTTATTTGGAAAAGGAAGGTGATAACCATCCTCCTCTTCCATGTGATTCAAGTAGTCTGTAAATTATTTCTTATTAGACAAAGAAAAGCAGTATATGCGTCTATGGAATCATTGGATAGTGCAAATGGTTAGCCTGCCTGGTTGCTAACGGAAGGTAGATCACCTAGTGATCTACCTCCAGAAAAATCAGCCATTGAAAACCCTATGGAGCACAGTTCTCTTCTGAAACACATGGGGTGCCATGAGTTGGAGTCAACTCAATGGCAACTTTTTTATATGCATCTATATATATTCATAGAATTAGGGTGACGGTTATGTAATAAATTACTTCTTCTAGTAATGGTTATTAAAGTTCTCGTTTTCTGTACAGGGTGTTACTCTGTTTGGCAGGAAACAAAGGTAAGAATCCAACACAGTGAAATCAATATGATTAGGGTATTTCTGGTAGAGGTTAAAATCCATGTAGACGTACTGGGAATGTGCTTTCTGGGTACACAGAGAGAAGTTTCTTTAGTGGCCTTTGGCACAACTGCTTATTTGTCTTCTTTCAATCATAAATGGTAGTAGTTCAAGCTGTTATAATACTTCCATCTCTGTGAGTCAGGTCAATTTTATTAGCCCAGTTTTTCAGATGGAGCAAATACATCAGGGAGAGGTTGAATTGCGAATCCAATGCCACGTGAGGAGTCAATGGCAAAAGCGAGAGTTGACCAGATGTACCAATTACTGTGCTCCAGTTTGAGACATCGCATTCTCTCTAACAAAGAAACGAACCTCCGTTTCCACAGGATTATTAGGAATTTCAGAATAAAGTATGCCTTTGTTTTCAGTGACACTCGTATTAGTAAATCAGAACAACTGAGATAATTACAAATATGTTAGTACTTACGGTACTTGTCCCTCTCAAGAATGAAATAAGGTTTCGACTGATTGGTAGTAAAATTAGCATGCAGTTAAAATTCAGACACACTGCGGATGCTCGCGCCCAGGCCAGTGCTGACTGTCCACATGTGAAGAGACAAAAAAAGGGACAGTGAAAACAAGGAAGCTGAGGGAAATAGAATAATTTTGTTTTCTGAAACTAGAATGAGTAGTCAGTAACTCTACTTACACCCAGTATAACTCGTGTGTACAGAAACGACTCCTCCTTTTCATACCAACAGAATGTGTCAATAAACAGATATAAATTCATTCCCAGCCATGAGAGCTAGAGTCAAGGGAAAAGAGAGCCAATCAATACTACCTTCAACCTTTTCCTCTATTCAAAATCACTGGGGGTCTTCCTTTAAAGTAAAACGAGGAGCTTCTCAATATTAGTCAGATTACCCCATACACTTATTTTTTGTAGATAAATTTTTTACAATAATTATAATGGCAAGAAATTGTTAACTTCAAAAAAAGAGATTTTAAACTCATATGGATATACTTTTAGTAATTTAATGAGCACTACAAAACCTTTCTAATCAATAGTCAACAGTGTTAAGTCAATGACGTCAAGAAGAAGGGGGAAATCTTTAAAAACCACTCAGAGAGTACTCTAGAAAAATTCCAGTTTCATAGTCTAATTCAAAGACTTCATTTGATTTAGAGAAACGTTCATACATTATGCAAAAAACAAACTACTTGACTTTAAAAATGAACTCAATCGGAAAACAACTTTACATGATTCTGTAAGGGTAAATTAAATACGTCTACTAAATGTTTTCTAACAAGTTCAGTTTTTTAACCAGAGTAACACTTCAAGCTACCTAGCATTCCTGTGCCAGTCGTCCTAAAAATCAAAGACTATTCAATATATAGATTTAAAGTTGAATAATAAAAATGCTACTTACTACTAAAATGATGGAGAGACTCTCATTCAAAATCCAGCACCCCATCCTGACAGTGTGGCTTTCTTGCCGTCAGCAAGTTATTCTTTCCATTCACCTGAGCCTGGAGGGTCTGTCCTGGGTAAGGACTTCCCTACTAAATTATTTTGTCTTTTCATCTTGGGAGACACCTACTGGGAGCAGCTCTCTAGGAATTTCTAATTATAGACTTCGTGCCGAAGACACATTACCAGGATGACATGCCTCCTCACCTGGGTAAACGAAAGGCAAGTCTCTGTCTAATGACTCCTTTCTTCAAAGGCTTCATAAAAGAAGAAAGCTTGCTTTATTAGATTATCCTCTTGTACTTTATACTCCATTCATTTTCTACATGATTGCCGTCAAGATGATAATAACTCTTTATGTAAATTGGAGAAATACCCAAACAGTGAAAGCTGGATGCAACAAAACACGTTTACTGGTGCTTTCTCAATTTTGTTTATTTTTTCTTCTTTACATCCTTTTTCCATTCTTTAGAGAAGCACTCTATAGAAGACATATTCATTGTAACTAATAAATTAAGGTAAATTATTTCCTATAATTTAAATGTGTCCAATTTATAGGAATGTCATTTATATCCATATATTAAGCATATTTGAAGCACAAGTCCAAATATTAGTATTTCATGAAATACTAATTTTAAGTAAGGGTAAGTGATATGGATTAAACAATCTTTCAGAAGATGGTGAAGAGAGAAAAAAAAATCCAAAAATTCACTGAAAGGAAAATTCTCATAAATCTAAAATTGTGACCAGAAAGAATGAGATAGATTTGTGTGTGTGTGAGGGGGATTGATGGAATAAACCTCATTTTTTTCTGAATCCCACTTGGTACACCCATGAGATAACTGAGAACATTCTTTCAGTTCATATCATAGTGATCCCAGGAGTGGCTGGGTGTGAGTCTGAGTTGTCTCTGATTTTGTGTAAGTCATACGTGTTCAATGACATGATGCTAAGTCCAGTAAGAAATGTTGTCCCAGCTGAAGTAAATTTCTGGCTAGTTCTGGCCTGGATATTTCATTTATAAATTTTTAGACAGTTAAGACAAAAATAGAAGGAGGTTTGTGTCATTTGGCTAGTCACCTAATTATCTTGTTCTGTCTTTATATGGTGGATCTGTTTAGTTTTCCTAAAAGAATTAAACAAACAAACAAAAACCTGGTAAGAATAATACTTGCAGATATTCATTGTCATATATTTCTCCAGGAACTAGGTTGAGAACTTTTCAAGCATTGCCTCATTAAATCATACACTGACTCTGTGAGGTAGGTATTATAAGCCCCATCACAGAAATGTGGAAACAGGCTCAAATAAAGTAACCTGTAGTCAGGGCAGTTAGAACTTGAATCCGGTTCTCTTTGATTTTAACATCTTTATTTTTAACCAGTACGTTATACTGCGTTTTTCACAAAATGCTAATATTTATGCTTCAAATATGCTTAATATATGGCTATAAATTATAGTCCTATAAAATGGATACATTTAAATTATAGGAAATAAATTAGTTTATTAGTTATAAATGAATATATTACTATAGTGATTAAGGATGCCATCTATTTGTATGTAATGCCAGGGAATTACAGAAAAATAAATAAATAAGTTATCCTATATTTAGAAAGATCTAGAGCCCTGATATTGTAGGTTAATGTTTTCATGAGCGGACGAGCTTTCTACTTCTCATCCAGCCCTGACTGGGAGTTACGTCAGTTGAGCCTCAGCTTCCACATCTATTGAATGGGGCTAATTATAATACCTATTTCATCATGTCAATCCTTTTCTTCCTTTACTTCCAGATCTCCCAAAACACACACACACACCCACACTCACAAACACACATTTAAGCAAGATGATGCCTCTTGTGAAGAAGTCTTAGATTTACCAGTAAAAGTTTTGCAAACCTGCTTGTCTTTGTAAAAAAGACTGTTACATAGGATTTTTTCTCTCTAGACATACATAAGTACAGGTTTTTTTTGGCAGCATTAACCTGAGATTATAGCGCAGTTAGTAAAATGTCTTCAGTAGCTTCTTTAACAGTGAGCAATATAAAGATGTTATATCTTCATACTCATTTCTTTAAGCCAATAATCTTCCATCATGAAATGCTCTGTTATTTCTGAAGTGTTTAGGATTTACGTATCTTAGAGGCCTTATTCAGTTGGGTTATAAAAATTAATTCAGAGAGTATACACCTAGAATTTAATACTATCTCTTCTATTTTGGATTCAATGAGTGTGACAAAGAGTTGAAGGTTTCCACTCTTCCGTACTCTTCACACAGTATTACAAATGAGAAACATATATGTTGAATAACAATGTGTGATCAAATTTTTTATGGCAATTGATTAGAATGTTTCCAGTGCTACAATAAAAATTTAATATGAATGCTTAGGTTTAAAAAGTCATCTTTTCATGCTCTATCCTTATTTTAAAAATATGATTTGTTTATTCTGCATTTTGAATCTGTAAAAATACAGTGTGTTGAAGTATAGCTATTATTCATTTCTAGCACAAAAAAATGATTAACAGTTGTATTATAAAAGTTCAGCTTATACAGCTCATGGTTTAACTTAACTTTTTTCTTCATAGATTTTATTTTTTGTGAAACTTGTCTCGACTTTTAGTTCACTCATATCAAAGAATTCCACCACTCATCTGTCAGTTTGTCTTACTGTAGTGGCTTGCATATTGCAGTGATGCTGGAAGTTATGCCACTGATGTTTTAAATACCAACAGAGTCACCCATTGTAGACAGGTTTCAGCGGAGTGTCAAGACTAAGACAAACTAGGAAGAAGGACCCAGCAGTACACTTCTGAAAAAATTGGCCAGTGAAAACCTTTTGAATAGGAGCAGAACATTATCTGATATAGTGCCTGAAGATGAGCCCCTCAGGTTGGAAGGCACTCAAAAGATGCCTGGGGAAGAATTGCCTCCTCAAAGTAGAGTCAACATTAATGCCATGGTGGACTAAAGCTTTTGAGACCTTCATTTGTTGATATGGCATGACCCAAAATGAGAAGAAACAGCTGCAAACATCCATTAATAATCGGAATGTGGACTGTATGAAGTATGAATCTGGGAAAATTGGAAGTCATCAAAAATGAAATGAAATGCATAAAGATTGATATCCGAGGCATTAATGAGATAAAATGAACTGGTATCGGCCATTTCAAATCAGACAATCAAATGATCTACTATGCAGGGAATGACAGATTAAAGAGGAATTGCATCCCATTCATCGTCAAATAACCATTTCAAGATCTATCCTGAAGTACAATGCTGTTAGTGATAGGATAATATCCATACACCTACAAGGAAGACGAGTTAATATGACTATTATTCAAATTTGTGAACCAACCACTAATGCCAAAGATGAAGAAACTGAAGATTTTTACCAACTTCTGCAGTCTGAAATTGATCAAACATACAATCAAGATGCATTGATAATTACTGGTGATTGGAATGTGAAAGTCGGAAACGAAGAAGAAGGATCTGTATTTGGAAAATAAGGCCTTGGTGATAGAAATGATGCTGGAGATTGCATGATAGAATTTTGCAAGACCAATGACTTATTCATTGCGAATTCTACGGGCAAAATACTGAATAACACAGGAAGCATCAAATGAAGATGGAAGGAATACACAGTCTCTGCACCAAAAAGAATTGGTCAATGTTTAACCATTTCAGCAGGTAGCATATTATCAAGAACTGATGGTACTGAAGGAAGAAGTCCAAGCTTCACTGAAGGCATTGGTGAAAAACAAGTCTCCAGGAATTGATGGAATACCAATTGAGATGTTTCAACAAACTGTTGCCATGCTGGAAGCACTGACTCTTCTGTGCAAAGAATTTTGGAAGACAGCTACCTAGCTAACTAACTGGAAGAGATCCATAATTTGTGCCCATTCCAAAGAAAGTTGTTCCCGCAGAATGCGGAAATCATCTAACAATATTGTTAATAGCACACTCAAGTATAATTTTTCTGAAGATCATTCAAAAGTGGCTGCAGCAGTATATCGATCAACAGGGAACTGCCAGAAATTCAAGCCAGATTCAGAAGAGAACATGGAACGAAGGATGTCATTGCTGATGTCAGATGGATCTTGACTGAAAGCAGAGAATACCAGGAAGATGTTTACCTGTGTTTTATTGACTGTGCAGAGACATTCAAGTGTGTGGATCACAACAAATTATGGGTAACATTGAGAAGAATGGGAATTCCAGAACATTTAATTGTGCTCACATAGAACCTGTACCTAGACCAAGAGACAGTTGTTTGAACAGAAGAAGTAGTGTCATGGATTGAATTGTGTCCCCCCAAAATGTGTGTCAACTTGGCTAGGCCATGATTCCCAGTATTGTGTGATTGTCCACCATTTTGTCATCTGATATGATTTCCCTATGTGTTGTAAATCCTACCTCTATGATGTTAATGAGGCAGGGTTAGAGGCAGTTACATCAATGAGGTAGGACTCAATTTACAAGATTATGTTGTGTCTTAAGTTAATCTCTTTTGAGATATAAAGACAGAAGCAGGGAGAGAGACATGGGGACTTCATTACCACCAAACAGGAAGAGCCAGGAGCACGCATCCTTTGTACCTGAGGTCCCTGAACTGAAAAGCTCCTAGACTAGGGAAAGAGTGATGACAAGGACCTTCCCCCAGAGCCAACAGAGAAAGAAAGCCTTCCCCTGCAACTGGCACCTTGAGTTCGGACTTTCTATCCTCTTAGGCTGTGAGAGAATAAATTTCTCTTTGTTAAAGCCATCCATTTGTGGCATTTCCATTATAGCAGCACTAGATAACTAAGATAAGAGGATACTGCATGTTTTAAGATCAGGAAAGGTGTGCATCACCATAATTAATCACTATAACTATATAATATGTATGTTGAACAAATGATCTGAGAAGCTGGAGTATATGGAGAAGAATGTGTATCAGGATTGGTGGAAGATTCATTAACAACCTATGATATGCAGATGACACAACCTTGCTTATTGAAAGCAAAG